AAAAGATCTGATGTGAAAAAAAATGAAAAAAAAATTCATATATGATATTGCTATAGCACCTTTTGTCAGGGGACCATTTTGGGTACGAAGGGCAACGAATGGGTATAAATTTTTAAGTTAGATCAAGAGCTAGATTCACTCGTGGGTGAGGTAAATGGTGCTTGACCAATATTAAGGATTTGGCCAGTGACATAAGTTACTCCTCGGCCAATAGACTCAACTGGAGCCCTAATAAAGGAAGAAAAAGCTGAAAGGCTTGTTTGAAATCGGGAAAAAATTGTTTCTCCTTCCTCTCTTTGAAGACTTCCTCTAACAACATTATCATTCTCCTCAGATCCATCAACATCACTGCTTTTAGGAACCTCTGTTGTTTCAGAGGTGTCTAGCTGGTCATCACCGGAATCAAAAATCGGTAAAACAAGTCCATCGTACGGTGTACATTTTAGGACATCATCAGGTCTCAGGAAAAAAGTTGTCAGGTATCAGTCTCAGACGAAAAAATGTCAGTTCTCAGACTCACACGAAAAAATGTCAGGTCTATATTCAACTCAATAAAGTTCATCTTATCTTATTCTGTTTTCATTGCACCATTCTCTCTATACAGTTTTTGAATTTACACACTATAACGTACACGGCAGTTTTTTTTTTCTGTGCTTCTGCAACTGTTTTTTAGGTTTTCCTATAAGGTTTTTGTAATTAATTTAAAAAAAATTATATTATTTTTTTGGCTTTAGTGGATTCCCGCTCAGGTAACTCGGCCATTATGCACTACTCAGTAAACAAAATGGCTGAACAGTATCTTAAATGTCTGAACACGAGCTAGTCATACCATGTTAGTGTAGCAAGCTCACCTTATAGGGGTGTAAAACATGAGGCGTATGAGGTGATTGTTTAAATTACAGGAGTAGATGCCTGCAGCTGAAACAGTTTTCTGATCTGAACGTGAACCTACTGGTCACGTTTACGGTAATGTTACCAGATATGCATTGTACTATAGGAAAACGGTGGTGGATTAGTGTGCAAAAAGCCCCCAAAAGAAACACAGCTTCTTTAGCTCAAACACTGTCTGATCTCTTAGATACTGTGCTGTTCCATCTAGTTATTGGTTACTGAGAAATGTTAGGTTATTAATTAATTAAGAGAGTGCAGCTGTTCAGATCAGATGGTGAAGTAGGAAAATGCAGAACATGTTACTATAGCTGAATGCTGTGTAAAATACTAGTAATAAATCTAACTCCCATTTATGGCTTTTACTACTGTGGGGCTAAATAAAAAATTACAGACATAATGAGATCTGCTACAATTACAAAGCTTAAGTTTAAAACAATTATTGTATATTGAGCATTTTTTGCTCTTTTTTTAAATTCTTTTTGTTAATAATGGTCTCAATTTTATTATCAAGTTCAAAAATTAGATGCCCGTAAATGTACGAGACCCTCTTTATGGCTAGTATCCCCAAATATTTAATAATCCTTACTAAAAGTACACAAATTTTGTTCTTTTCAATTAAATAGTGCATGTTTAATGTATTCTTGAGCAGGTAAAAATTCCACCAAATTAGTTTTTGCATATTTTTAAGTATAATCACATTTTTATAGTTTGCGGGTATTTTTAATTTGGAGATTTTGCCACTTGATTTGAAGTTTGGATAGTGCTTTATAGTAATTTGTAAATGTTTTGAAGTCATCTGGCTTCTTAATAATTTAATAAAAAATCAACAGGGAGGGGCGGTAGTTACACACGCAGTAGCACAGTAACAGAGCAGGAGGGAGAGACAGAGAAAGAGCCAGGGACAACAACGTCACATTAGAAAGGTATAGTAATCATCCACAACTATTTTCAGTTGCGGATGATAAAGGATTCAGAAAGTTTATTTGTGCAGGCCCATATGACAGAGAATGTGCATCTTCTTTTTGTTTTCATATTTTAATTTATATTTGTGTTGTGGTTTGCAGTGTTTTGTGTTGTTTCACTTTAAATTTGTTTAAAAGGAAAAAGCTGAAAATGTAAATAGTTAAAAGTTTAAATGTAAATAGTTGTTTTTTTAATTATATGATTTATTTATTACATTATGTGGAGAGAATAAATAAAAGTATATTAATGGTGCCCGCTAGAGACAAAGCACGTACAAACCCCAAAACACGTAAAAACTTCAAAACACGTAAAAACTCCGAAGCAGGTACAAAACACAACAGAAGTGCTCCAGGATGCTAGGCACAGTGTTGAGCTTTTGTTACCTAGTGGCTACAAAAGCCAGGAAGTACCAACGACCGGATTTGGTGTGTGGTAGTAACAGGTAAATGAACAGTTTTTGGAATTTTTTATGAAT